TAACAAATGACAGGATATAGTATTAAAATTAATTCATAATAACGAATGAAACTTATGACAAAACATAGAAAAGAGACTTGTCGATAAATTACAGTACATCAAAATCACGAGATAAACCGACGCAAACAAGTAGAACAAAAATGTCGGAAAACCAACCCTAATTCGCGAAATGGAATCGTCCAACATTTTTGATCAGTATCTTGAACCACTCGTTGGCAACGCGAAGAGATTTTAATCCCCAACCACACGTTGTAGACGGGTATACACGTTGCTTTATTTTGCGAGGCTCCCTAAATGTGTTTGTCATCTCAAATTAACACGAGCACTCCCTCGTTAGTTGCCATGTCTACATCATCGAAAATACAGTAGTGCAATATTTTACGAATGCTCGCATAGGAACCTTGGCCCTCGCAGAGGTCTGGTTCTTTATAAGAACCAGTTTTGTTGTTTCAGTGTTCTTATGTTTGGCCGATTTCAGGCTCATGTTCATATTTTACACACTTTTTAAAGATTGTCCAATCTAATACTGCTAAACCATCTAAAATTGTCTTCAAGTTTATAAACATATCCTCACTGGGGTCGTCCATGATGAAAACTGTACACTATGACCATCTTTGCTGTGACCTGGAGTTGTGACTGCGAGCACGAGGTGGAACAGTACGCGCAAGAAGATGGGGAACCCAACAGTATCTGTATATTTCTCGATCCTTTTCATTCTGTATTCAATTCAATACATTTCGAATTCTTTAATGGTTTTAACACAAGATTACAGTAATGAAATAAAACTGAAACTATAATAAATCTGCTCTAAAATATATTTGTCACATCAAAAGTCCTTGGTCTCATTATTTCCTTGGTCGCTTTATTTAAAAGTTGTGTTTAGCTATTATTTTGTCATACGACAGTTAGTGCTACCCTAACGCCTTTGCAATGATTGCTTCTATTCTAGCCATCCTAAATAACGCTCCTAAAACCATTCGGTCCGATCATTGTCATATGCACATGCATCCCACCTTTCTCGTAAGGACCACTCCCCCACCTCAAGAAATGTACCCCATGCCTACACTGTACAACACGAATACAGTGATGTAATATAACTGAAACTACAATAAATCTGCTCCAAAATTTATTTGTCACATGTTTATTTAAAAGTTATTTTCAGCTATTGACTATCTGTATATAGGCCTAATCCTTATTTTGTACACGAAACACTAAATCCAAGCATCAAAATTCCTGAGATACTTGGTGTGAGGCCGATCGCAGAAACCTGTGTTGAGTTGATTCACCGTACAGTACGAGTCATGCATAATTTGCTGATGACGAAATATTTATTCTGATGAATATTTAAACAATGTTCTTCGCGGCTGCTAGATTTAGTCTTTACCTGGGACTTGAATGACTGAGATATGTGGCAATGAAATTTTTCTGAGAATTAATTGGCTGTTTGCACTGTAATGATTAGTGTAAAACTAACCAGTGTCTTGATTAGTTTCACCAAAAAATGTCCATTGCAATTGCAGCTTTGGCTCTCACTTGAGATTCCATTGTGTTGTGTAAATGCAATTTTGTGATCTAAACATTCATAAAATGCTTTAATTATGTTGAGAAATAAACATTTTTTTTGCGAGGTATCGGTGCAGCTAATGCCATATCCAGGATTTTCAAACTGTGCAGGACAGTATTAGGGTGGACCCACTTTACACGTAAATTCAAATAATGCAGACCCATTTTCTTAAAAGTTGACCCATTGTATGCAATAATATATGAAAAATCTGGACCGTTTCCTAAAAGTTGACCCATTTTACACAAAATATGAGAAATCTGGACCCATTTTTTCAAGTGAACTCATTTTGTGCATAAAACAGCATCATTTAGAACCATTTTAAAAAATGTTGACCCATTCTTTGTGTCTCCAATAGAAAACTTGTATTGGACTGTCCCAACTGTCCAACAGCTGGCTACGACGTGGTGGCAGTAATTGTGAGATGGAAATAAAAATATTATTTTTTGTTTGAATTTTAAATTTTTTTCACCATGGCAATTATGCTATTCAGGCCAGAATAAGATATATTTTTAGTTTTATTTGAAATTATCATTGTCGGTGAGTGGTGGGTTCAATACAAGGTACAGAATTGTAATGAGTTGTCAATCAATGTACACCCTGTCTTTCAGCAAGAAGACCCCTTAAAAATAGTATGAACTTCCAATGCAGTAGTAGCATTGTAAGTTACACCGGTGATATCGTAGTTATCAAACAAGCGCTTGTTATGTAGCTGACACTGACCGTACGAACGGGGTCACCTGATGAAAACAAGCGCTTCAACCCGCAAGCTAACACCGACAAATGACCGGATTGGCAAGACTCTCATCTGATAGAACTTTTTGTTAATTGACTTGCCACATGTTGATTGCAATATCTGTAGATTGACCACAGTCTCGTTTTTGAGGCATTCTATAGGCCTATATGGCCTAGTTGGTTCATAATATCAACCAAAGAATCTTTAAAATTACCTTTTTGAGTTGTTTTCAACTTCATAATGTCAAAAGTAATCCAAATAAAACATTACAGGATAAATTTATACTATTATTGTTCATTTAAATTTTCATGTCTTTTTTTGGGAAATCCGCAAAATACCGTGGTAGTTTGTTTGCTGTGTCTGAAGGTACGGCTGAACGAGATACGGTGAACAGCATGTACTGTACGTACGATTCTGAAATTACAGCTAATACGGTAGCCATCTTTAGCCACTGTAATTCACACATTCTAGCAAGAACAACAACGAACAACGTTCGTACTAGCATACTACATTTGAAAGCTCGGGTTATATG